TAGAGAAGTCAGTTAGTGGAGCTTTCACAGTGATTTGGGTCAGAGGCCAAAAGTAAGGTGTGGAGAAAAAAAAAGTGACTTATAAAAAAACACAGTGAAATGCACCTCAGTCTTGATAACGGATTGAATGACAAAAACAAATTGAAAGATACTTGGGGAAAATAGTGGTTGTTACCAAAACACAGTACATTTTGGACCAGTGGCTAGGGTAGCAGGGAAGAGGAGTAAGCTTTTAGACATACTGTCTTTGCAGATCAAAACAATCCTAGTAGTGAAATCTAGCATGCATTTGAAAATGCAGCTTGCATCCCAAGATAGACGTCAGAGTTGAAATAAAAGGTTTGGGAGGAAGCTGCATCATCTGGGTAGCCAAGGAAAGTGGGAGGAGCTTGGGTCAGAGGCTGGAGACCAGATGGTGTAGGATCTTACAAACTATGATAAGAATTTCACTTTTACTCTGCAACAATTGGAAGGACTTTGAGCAGAGAGTAGCAAAATTTGAATTGTATCTTTAAGCTATTAATCCATAAAGGGGCTAATCACTTTGAGACTAGAATAAGGATGGATGCAAGAACATCAGTTAGTAGGTTTGTTGGGGCAGGGGGTGTTTTTGTTTTTTTGTTTTTCTTTTGTTTTGAGACAAGTTTACAGATGTGCACCATCATGACCAACTAATTAATGTGTTTTCCTAGTAATCCAAACAAGATGGTTATGGCTTGAACCAGAGTAATAACAGAGATGTTGAGGACTGGTTAGATTCTGAGCTGGAACTGGAAAGATTTGGGGACAGATTGAATACAGGATGAAAAAAAAAAAGAATCAAAGATGACTCACCAAGATTTTATTCTGAGCAGCAAGGGGGAGCTTTCTTGTACATAGGTGGAGAAGACTGCAGGAGTAGGTTAGGATGGCAAGAAAGAGACAGTTCAGTTCTGGACGGGTTATGTTTGGATGCCTATTAAATCAAGAATATGCAAGTCTGGATATTTGGAAAAATGGTCCAAAAGTAGTTGAGAAGGTCCAGGAAGGTGTAAAAAATCTTTTGAATGGCACCTAATCTGGGCGGCAGCAGCAGCAACTGTGTCTCTTCATGGAGATGGGAAAATGTATCTTCGTCTATGAGTACACAGGTTGCATCCTGTTCCACTTACCGAGAAGCTATTAAATAAAGGTTGCACTTTCCATGTTTGACAACAGCATCCTTCCTTCCACTATGTGACTGTCTCTAGATGGCACCTGTTCCATAAAAACTTCTTCATTCTCTCTGCATCTTCTCACAACACACATTCAGTATGCTTTCTGCAGTCTTTATCTGCACCAAAAGGACATCGAACCACTGTCGCATTATCAAGAATAAGACCTTCCTGCTTTGGTGCTTACCAGAAGGACAGAGTCTTTTCTTTCCCCTAATTTTATCAAGAGCAGACCCACTCTCAACCTCTGAATTGTCTCTCCAATCTGCGTCTTTCCTTAATTAGATATTTTGGATGTAAGTAAGCCACTCTTATAGTTCAAGTGTATCTACAAATAACTTGGAGTAAACAACATAAGCCTTGGGAATGTTGTCCAAATAAAGCCTACCTGTCCCATGACAGGTGCTCAATTAAATGCATCTCAATAATTGGCTCAGCTGGACAAGCATGTCACACAGGTCTTACATATTACAGACTCTCCTAGGTAAGGAAAATCCTCTAGGGCCTCTGTCCTTCACTTCCCATTGTCCTAACTTGGAATCCTCTCATGGAAAGAATCTTTACCCAGGCTTATGGCAAAGCCTTGTCCTTTGTCACTCACACGTTCTTTGTTCTGTTTTCTTTCCTAGTAATGTCTGCCCCGTGAAATGACAACTGTTCAGTGTCTGGCTTGGTACTGTCCAGAGTTTGAAAGTTATTCCTAAAATAAAGATGGCTCTTCTGAGTCAGGGTAAATCCTTGCTCTTACTGACATCTTTAGAACCAAGTGTTAAAGATCAGAAATTTATCTCCAAACCAACAATGGTTTTAACAACTCTGAACTCATTTAAATGGTCCCAAATTTCTTTTTGAGTTTTGCTGGTACTACCTCCCCAAACAGAGCAGAACTTCTTTTCCAGGCTTAGTTATGTCCATCAAGGTAGGCAGGTAGCCAGTTTTGCTGGAGTCTGTAGATTTCTGTGATTTTTCTATATTTTTTCCCTCTTTGAAAATCCACTCCACCTTCTCCTATGGAAGCCTTCTAGTTTGCTAATATTCTTTCTCAAAAACCATGCGCATTTTTAGCTGTTGTGTTTTATATAAAAAGAGCCCATCAAGCCCCTTTGGCTTCCAACAAGAGAATGAACTTTCTCAGTTTATTTCCTTTCCATTCCAAGCCCCTTTCTGATATCAGCCTTCAGAATTGCAAGGGTACACCAGCCTTCATGATAGAATACATAATGACTCCCATGCTACTGTCTTATAATGGGAAAGGAAACTAATACATAATATACTTGATTAATATAAAACTCCTATTCCAAAGTCTTCCCCCAAACTTCCAACATTTCAGATCACATATATATATATTTGCATAATTACATGTTTTAAAATGTTCAGAGACATCCCTGTGCCCTTTCCATAACCTCCCCCAATGTCAATATCTACAATTATTGTATAATATCCTCAGAGCTTATTTTGACTTCATTATTTTTTAAATGTTATTATTTTTATTTTATGTGTATGAATGTATTGCCTACATGTATGTAAGTGTACCCATGTCATGTAATGCCCATGGAGGTGAAAGGAGGGCATCAGATTCCCCTGAAACTGTTGTTACAGATGGTTGTTAGCTGCCATATGGGTGCTGGGAATCAAACCCATGTCCTCTACAAGAACAGTCAGTGTCCTTAACTGCTGAGCCACCTCTCCAGTCCCAGACTTCATCATTTTTATCTATACTTCTAGGTTCACGTATTTCTCTCTCCTCGCTCCCATTCTCACTCTTGCTCTTTGCTCTCTGTTTGTCTGATACAACTTTAACACATATATGCCCTTGTATAACCACTCTCATACTTAAGATTTAACCCAACATCACCATGATTCATGACATTACTCTTACCTACCTAAACCATTTCCCCATCCCAAACTCCTGGTAATCACTAATCTGTTCTTAGCTACTAATCTTGTTTCAGCTCTATAATTGCCTTATTTTGCTATTATTATATAGATCTCCCCCTTTTGTGGTACTGTGAATTGCACATGCTTGTAAAATACAAAATCAGTGAACTATATCTATCTCCAGCCCCCTTTTTACTTTTTCTTTTTTGAGAAATTGACCAAATTGGCCTTGAACTTCCTCTGTAGTCCAGACAGGCCTTGAACCTGTGATCCTCCAGCCTCAGCTTCTAAATTGGTAAGAAATACAGGCCTGTACCACCAGACCCCAAGCAATATTTATCCTTTTGAGATTAACTTTAATTTTGTGCATATGGTGTATTTGTGTAGATGAATTTATATAAGTCTACACAGGGATTGGCATCAGGTGTCTTATTGATTGTTCTGAATCTTATATAGTAGAGCAGGGTCTCTCACTGAACCCAAAACTCACAGATTCAGCTAGGTCAGGTTCATCTAGACTAGGTCCCTTTCTTCAAGGATGCTGTCTCCACCTCCAGTGTGCTGGAATTACAGGCAGACCACCATTCCCACTTAGCAGTTACATAGCTGCTGGGGATCTGAACTCTGGTTCTCGCACTTACATGGTGAATGATTTACCCACTGTGCCATCTCCCCAGCCCAAGATTAACTTTAATTTCCTTGAGAGTCATCCAAGTAATTGTGTTTACTAATAGTTCATTCCTTTTTATAGCTGAGTAGTAAGGATGTGCCAAATTTAGAGGGGTTTTTTTGGGAGGGGGGATTTTATACTTGGTGATTTTTGTTATTGGGATTTTGCTGTTGCTGTCGTGGTGCTAAGGACTGAACTCAGGGGGTTGGTGTATGCTAAGCAAGGCTATAGTTTCTTTTGTTTTGTTGGTTTGAAACAGACTCTCATGTAGTTGTGTTTGGCATGGAACTAGCTATGCAGATGAAGCTGGTCTTGAACTCCTGATCTTCCTGCCACCACTTCCCAAGTGATAAGATTACAGATGTGCGCCACCATGCATGGCAAGGCCACAGTTTGTTTTTTTTTAAACTAGTCACACTTAGAAGGACATTTGAGTAGCTTCCAACTTGAGAGTTTTATGAATAAATCAGCTATAAACAAGAGAATACAAATTCCTAAATAAAAATAAGTCCTTATGTCTCTGGGATAAATACCCAAGAATATACCCACTGAATCATGTGCCAAATTCATTTTTAGTTTTTAAGAAGGAAAAACCAAACCACTTTTCAGATTCAGCTTTCTTATTGGGGATTTAATTATGACTGAAGCACTAGATAGATATTCCACTGCTGACCTCTTCCTGATTAGAGAGGCATCCTTCAGAAGTCCTATGGAGTCAGATGAACCGGGACTCAGAGAGAAGTAGGGACTTCAGACCCTATTTCCCGAATTTGATTAGCTGGGTGAGCTTGAACACATACTTAGCTTTTTTTCCTTTAGCTTCCCCCTTGTACAAAAGAGAGATAATAGCAGGGCATAGTGTACACACCTTTAATCCCAGCAGAGGCAAGTGGATCTCTGTGAGGTTGAAACCAGCCTTGTCTACATAGGGATTCCAGGTCAGCTGGGGCTACAGGGAGACCCTGTCTCAACACCTCCCTCAAAAACGAGAGCTAGATAATGATATTTGAAACAGTAAGGATTTAAAAGATCAACATGTAAAATACTGAGTAGTGTCTGGAACCCAGTTGTGAGATGATGCTAGCTCTCTCTCCCCAACCTATGGCAAAACAACAATCAAACATTATTTCCAATTTTTGTGGTATTGGAAATTATAACTGATTTTAACAATCCAAAGAAAATATGCTACTTTTGTTCATATTTTTAATTATTTTTATTATTTTTATTTTGTGTATGAGTTTATTACCTACATGCATGTAAGTGCACCCATATCATGCAATGCCTACAGAGGCGAGAAGAGGGTGTCAGATCCCCTGGAACTGGAGTTAAAGACGGTTATTAGCTGCCATGTGGGTGCTAGGAACTGTACTGGGGTCCTCTGCAAGACCAGCCAGTGCTCTTAACCACTGAGCCATCTTTCTAGACCTTTAAAAAATGCCGGGTGTGGTGGCGCATGCCTTTAATCCCAGCACTTGGGAGGCAGAGGCAGGCAGATCTCTGGGAGTTCAAGGCCAGTCTGGTCTCCATAGTGAATCCAGGCCAGCTGGGGCTACAGGGAGACCCTGCCTCAAAAAGACCAAAAAAAATTTTTTTAATTATATGTATTATGTCTTTGTGTAAGTATGCGCGCATTAGCGTAGGTGAGTGTGGAGGCCAGGGGAGGGCATCAGTTCCCCTGGAACTGAGTTACAGGCAGTTGTAAGTTTCCTGACTGACACGGGTGCTGGGAACCAAACTCAGGTCTTTGCAAGAGCAGTATGTGCTCTTAACCACTGACCCACCTCTGCAGTCCATTATTCATATTCTTTTTTTATTAAATGGGTTATCCTTAAAATTTTTTTATTGCATTTTAAAATTTATTTTGTGTGCGTATGTGTATATATGTGTATGTGTATGGACACATATGCTATGGTGTGCATGGGGAGGTCAGAGAACAACTTTCAGGTGCTGGTCCTCTCCTTCCAGGGACCCAGGGATCACACTTAAGTCATCAGGCTTGGCATCAGGTGCCTGAGCCATCTCACTGGCCCCAAAGGGATTATCTTTATTAACTTTGTAACATGTCATAACATAGCTTTGTAAACCTTCTTTGTGAAAACAAATTTCCCTTTCTTTCTCTCAATGATATTGTGGAAATAACCTTTGTGACTCTTGGAAGCAGAAATAAATGGGTGTCTCTCCAGTGTACTCTAATTTTTCTTTCTTCTAGGTCAGTGAACAATTTTCTGATGACTGGTCCAAAGGTAAAGAAAAATTCCTTTTTAAAAAAAATTTATTATTTTTATTTTTGTGTATGAATGTTTTGCCTGCATGTGTATAAGTGCACCAGAGTCATGCAGTGCTCTCGGAGGTCAGAAGAGGGTGTCAGATCCCCTGGAACTGGAGCTTTGCATAGTTTTTAGTTGCCATGTGGGTGCTGGGAACTGAACCCAGGTCCTCTACAAGAGTAGCCAGTGCTCTTAACTGCTGATCCAACTGCCCAGTCCCCAAATTTCTTTTATTAACTTGGGTGTCACTAATCTTAATGTGTTAACTGAAGATAATCAGTTTCATTATGTCCACATCTTCCATTATGCTGTAGAATAAATTAGAGAAAATCTGAGACACAAAACGTGTTAGAGACTTGCCCAAAGCCACTCGGCAAACTAGTGCTGGACCCCAGATAAGAATTAAGTGTACTGGTTCTGAGTTTATCAGAATCTCTAGAGCCAGAAAAATCACCAGCTTTCCCCAGGTGCAGTCCCATATCCCTCTCTGAGCAGTGTGTTATACTTACAGCTCAGGAACTGTGCTACATGATATCTACGTGGATAGAAGGCATTTCCAAAACTCTATTCCTTGGATAGTATGGGGTGAGAATACCTGAAATTTCAAGAATTGTGTGGATGGGGCTCATTTTGGAGAGACAGCTTAGTATAATGAATACAGGAATTAAAGTTCAATTGAACTAAAGTTCAATTCCTACTTTTGCCATTTGTTAACTGTGGTGCCCTGGGCAAAGTTCTTTATTTCCCTTGTCTGAGTCTCAATTTCCCCATCTATAAAATGGTCCCTATTCACAAGATTACTTACACTATTAAATGATAGTGTATTTATTGCTTTCTCAGTCATTATTTTAGAAGGTTGGGAGAGTAGACAGTAACAGAGGTGCTTGGCCAGTGTAGGGCAAATACCTCATAAGTTCAGGCTAAATTTTGACTCCATATTCCTGTAGGCTTACCTGATCTACTCCAGTAGTGTGGCAGCTGGTGCGCAGAGTGGAATTGAAGAATGTAAATACCAGTTTGCCTGGGACCGCTGGAACTGCCCTGAGAGAGCCTTACAGCTGTCGAGCCATGGTGGACTTCGCAGTGGTAAGGAAAGCCTGGGCCACAGCTCTAGAGCCCTGTCACACCCTTTTCACCCCATCTCTCCTCTCAAGACATCTCCCCGTGAGAGCTTCCCTTTTCTTCTCCTACCTCCTCTTTCCTACTATAGAGCCTCTTTCTTTCTTCCTTTCCCTTTCTTTCTTTTCCAACACCCTCACTGGCCAATAAACGGACCTTGTCTCATATCCAATCGGATCCCACCCCTGACTGTCCAATGGGCTAAAGGTTTCTTGAGGATGTAACAGCTGGCGGTAGGTAGGTCAGCATCGTTCCCCATCATGCTAAGCGTCTTCTTCAATCGACTCAGCAGAGAGGGACTGAGTAAGGAGAGACTAGGACATGGAGACCATGTTTCCATAAAGGAGATAATAATGAAGGAGGGGCTTTTCAAAAAAAATATGTGTATACATGTATTTCCTGCATATAGGTAAGTGCACCCGTGTCGTGAAATGCCCACAGAGGACAGAAGGGGCTGTCAGATCCCTTGGAACTGGAGTTACAGGCAGTTGTTAGCTGCCATGTGGGTATCGGGATTCGAACCTGGGTCTTCTGCAAGAACAGTCAGTGTTCTTAACTGCTGAGCCATCTCTCCAACCCCAGAAAGAACGGCTTTTTGAGACTGTGTGCTTCCCAGCTCTCAGCGTTCCCGGAGGAAGCGTGGGTGGGCTCAGAGGCATCTCCTTCCTTATTTCTTCCTCAGGTTCTTTCCCACCTAAATGTTTTCTGAGTATATCAGCAGAAGTCAAGCCACTTACCCTAAAATGTGTGGCTTGAAAAGACAGGAGGGAAGCCACAGGGCTGAGGCCAGGGTGGACAGACCTGGGAACAGGAAAGCTACATTATGGAGGAGGGGCAGAGAGCGCTGAGGAAGGTGGGAATGATGACAGTATTGAGGGAAAGCAGCATAACTGACCTCTCCTTGGGCTGCAGCCTCTCCCTCTAACTCTGGGGGCCTTTGGTTCCTGTAGCTAATCGGGAGACAGCGTTTGTACACGCCATCAGCTCTGCTGGGGTCATGTACACCCTGACTAGAAACTGCAGCCTTGGAGATTTTGACAACTGTGGCTGTGATGACTCCCGCAATGGACAACTGGGTAAGTCGAGAGGTGGGATGGGGGGCGCAGGCCACGTAAGTTCACTTACACCGTGAAAGTGAGGTGGGAGCTTGGCAGAGTAAAACAGCAGCCTTCTAAATACGAGGAAAAAGTGCTGAAGGTGGGTGAACCAGTTTGAGCCCAGATCCTACAGTGACAACCCTGGCTAAATGTAGTTTAGGAGCCTGTTTTTCTGAGTGGTTTACTTAATTTAAACATAACATCAACATAACAGCATGTCCTTCAGACTATCATCTGTCTGTTTCAAACACAGAGGAACCTCCTTCCATGTTATGTTGCCTTTCCTTGCTGGAATCTTTCCCACTGCCTTTTCCTGTCGCCCCCTCCCCCATCCCTCTCACTTAATTTCCAAATTTGTTGTTCCATAATATTTCAAGTGGGGCCCTCCTCCTCTCTCTCATCATTTTGACCCTTTCGGGCCTCAATCCTTCCTTCACCAGACACGTGCACCCTTCTGGGCACTGAGTAGGGGCAGAGGGGTCACGCAAGGAGAAAACTAGTTACATGGTAACTAGTTACGTCATGAAGGCCTGAGCAGGGGTTGGCTCAGGCTGACAGAGGACCGAAAAAGTGGCAAAACATAAATCTAGATTGAAAGTAACGTAGAAACAGGGTACTCACCCAATTTTAACCCTTTCTTATCCCACTCCATCCCACTCCACCTCAATTAGAAACAGCAGCTCGCGGGAGCTCTGGGCCGACCCACTCAATGACTTTTCCTGCTCCTGCACTTTTTCAGGGGGCCAAGGCTGGCTGTGGGGAGGCTGCAGTGATAACGTGGGTTTCGGAGAGGCCATTTCCAAGCAGTTTGTGGATGCCCTGGAGACAGGACAGGATGCCCGGGCAGCCATGAATCTGCACAACAATGAGGCTGGCCGCAAGGTGAGTCCCGCAGCCCCTGGGACTAGGCAGCTGGCTCGGTCCACTTCCCGTCCGGCTCCAGCGCTTCGGTTCGCCTAGCAGCCTCTATGCGGCAGGCTGGCCTCGCATCCTAGCCAGGCGCCCCGCAGCCCCTCCAGGCCCGGGCCTCTGACTCCTAGCTCTCTCTCCAGGCGGTGAAGGGAACCATGAAACGCACGTGCAAGTGCCACGGCGTGTCCGGCAGCTGCACCACGCAGACCTGCTGGCTGCAGCTGCCGGAGTTCCGCGAGGTGGGCGCGCACCTGAAGGAGAAGTATCACGCGGCGCTCAAGGTGGACCTGCTGCAGGGTGCGGGCAACAGCGCGGCGGGTCGCGGCGCCATCGCCGACACCTTCCGCTCCATCTCCACGCGCGAGCTGGTGCACCTGGAGGACTCCCCAGACTACTGCCTGGAGAACAAGACTCTAGGGCTGCTGGGCACCGAGGGCCGCGAGTGCCTGCGTCGCGGGCGAGCGCTGGGCCGCTGGGAGCGTCGCAGCTGCCGCCGGCTGTGCGGGGACTGCGGGCTGGCTGTGGAGGAGCGCCGCGCCGAGACCGTGTCCAGCTGCAACTGCAAGTTCCACTGGTGCTGCGCGGTCCACTGCGAGCAGTGCCGCCGGCGGGTCACCAAGTACTTCTGCAGCCGCGCAGAGCGGCCGCCGAGAGGCGCCGCACACAAACCTGGAAGGAAACCCTAAGGGTCTCCTGGCTCCTTCCCCCATTTGTCCTTGGTTGATTTAGAGACCCCAGTGCTAGAGGAGTCCAGGGAGTGGGAACCTTGCACTCCCTAGCAGCCGTTCTGACTGGGAGACGCTGCAACCTCGCCACTCTGGGCCATTTTCCAAACGGTTTCCCGGGTTCCTCTGCGCTCTCCTGGAGTTCTGCTTGGTCTTTGTAGCTCACACTTAGGTCTCAAAACTGTTCTGAAATTCTGCACTGTTGATGTTCCTCACAAAAGGACAAAAACAGGCGATCCTCCCTGTGACCCCAGCTGCCCTAGTGCCCGGCCTAGCCTGAAAGCATAGGAAGGCCCCCTCTCAGTCTCTTCCTTTTGCCCACCACAGCTGCACCTCCCTCCTGCACAGCCAGCCCTCTCCACTTTGGTTCCCTGCTAACTGTTGACACAGCCTCCTCAAGAATCCAACACTTTATCTTCCCTTCTCATTTCCCCTCTTTACCCTTAAAAAAAATCCTGAAAAAAACTAACCTGAGAAGAATCAAGCCTCTGAATATGGGGGAAGAGGGAACCCTGGAGCCCCGACTTGAACAAGTGTGAGCACAGGCCCTAACAGACTTCAGCAGCAGGCTAACAATCACCAAAGATACTCCAGCCTCCCCCAGGAGGTCTAGGAGCGGTGTGGGCAGGTTGGTAGTTATTTCCTCCTTTGAAGTTACCCTCTTCCATCTCCGAGCAGCCTTCTTTTATCTTTTCTCCTTCCCCAAAGGCGTCATACAAGACTCAGGTAAATCGAGCCAGTCTCCTAGTCTGCACGTCCAACTGCAGGCCATAGCTGAGGCCTTTTACTCACCTGGCTCTCAAATAGGCAGGATTCAGGACATTGGATACTTTCCTTCACTAGGTAAACTTCCTGCTAGGAAACTGTTGCTAATAGGGTGTTCAGTAACTTGAACTTTTAATTTATTGAAGTCACAGTCATGTGCCGTTTCCCCTAAGTAATGAATTTATCGGGATACTGAGGGGAAGGTGGGGTAGAAATATAACCTCTAAACTCTTTCCTCCCTCCACTTTGGCAGGATACCTCCTCCCTATAGATTTGCTTCCCTGATGGCCTAAGTAGTTAGCTTGATTTGTCTGAGGTTAATCTGCCAGGGATTAGTAAATCATCCATATAAATCTCCCACTAATGCATTCACTTGGAAGCCAAGAACTTGCTGCTTCTGGGGCTTGAGTCTTCTGGTTCTTTCTCAGAGAGGGATAGTTCAGCAGCCACTTGTTTATGAAACAGGAATCTGGGAATGGAAGAATCAATGCAGCCACAGAGTTTCCCAGCTAGGTGCTGCTTGCCCTAGACTACTCCTGGGTCTGGGCACCAGCAGTATTTCTAGAACAGAGACGGCCAGATTCTCTATAACCCCATTCTTCTCCTAAAGTAAGTAGAGAGATCACAGAAGCCAAAGCTCTAGGGGCTAACCTGCAAGAGAAAGGCTGTCACATTCCAAACAGAGACAGTAGCCAAGCTAAGTCAGACCCCTGGCTCCTGGCCTCACCCCATGCATCTCTTGGTCCTCTACCTTAGCAAGAGATACACTGCCTCTTCAAGGTCTTGTGGCACTTTGAACTGTGCTTCAAAGTTGCTAAGTTTGGTTTTTCCCTCTTGCATTACCCATTCACACATTTGTACATGCAATAAGCACTAGAGTGTTAACAATACACCAACATCCCTGAGTTCAGGGATTCTTGTCTTACACTCAGTCACCAGGGCCATGCAGACAACTCTAGAACTGTTGACTGAGAAGACAAGACACCTCTAAGGTCAGCTAGTCAAACGTTTTGTTTTACAGATTTAACTGATGTTGAGAAAGATGCAGGCTTGTATACTAGTGTGGGGTAAGCACAGGAGGCCAGGCCCCTTCCCTCCTCTGTGTGCTCTCTAGGAGCCCATCTGTCTTGGTCTGTGGACAGGACAGAAGTAGAGGGAGGTCCTGAGAAGTGACGGGAACACTGGGTGGGGTGAGCAAAACACCGTCTCCTTCCTGTCCCTGGCCTGTAAGCCTACACGCAGGCCAGGCTTTCTTTTCTTGAAAAGAATCCCAGTCTCAATTGGCCTTAGCAGCAGGTCAGTCCAAAAACAGAGAAAGGGTCGTCCTCTGCACACTGGTAGCGCTGGTGGTGGTGGGAGGGGAGGGCAGGCCAAGGCACTCGCCTATTGTCGGTCTGGATTGGATGCTTCCACTCATTCATTTCCTTTTAATTAACCCACATTCCTGAAGGAGAAATATTTATGTTGGCTCCCATAGAGGCAATGCTCAGACTGGAAGAAGAGGGACGAAAGCCTGTCTTAGCAAAACAATATCTCTAAAGAGCTCAAGAAGAGAAAATAGGGGAACAAAATGCCATTAAAACAGCCTTCCACCCCTGCTGGAGTCAATGAAAACTTCATTTCACATGTTAATCCGCCACTCCGCCCCCTTCTCTTCTCACAACACCTTTTCCAAAAGTGTTTGGGAAAAGTCTTTGCAGTCAGTACACAGCTCCCTGCAGCTCAGACTTCTCCTTGTGTTAGTTCAGGGCCCCAAGTGGGGCTCTCGCTCCAGCAGCGGCTTTTTTCTCCCCCCCTTTAATTTAAACAAAGACTTCGGAGTTCATCAACCTCCCACTGAAATTCACAGCTGCTGAACAAACTAATCCCCTCTCCCGGCCTTTCTTCCCTTCAATGGGCTCTTGGCTTCAAAGACACTTTGGGAAAGGACTTTGCTGGGGCTCACACTGCTTCATCAATAGAAGTTAGCGCAAGTATTATCTGAAGAGCAAGTGGCTTTACAAACAAATACTGCCTAACAATCCCTCCCTCCCAAACACACACATCTAGTCTGCAGACATGATGGGATCGACAACAGGATTAGGGCTGGTACCCCCTGGCTTCACACCCAGGCCCTTTGTGCAGCTGAGTTCAGCCCTGAAGTGGTGTGGGGAAAACCCTGCAGCTAACTGTCAGACACAGATGGAGACAGACAGACAGACAGACAGACAGACAGACAGACAGACACACACACACACACACACACACAGACACAGACACACACACAGACACAGACACACACACCAAGCAGTGTGGCTGTAAGTTGCTACAAGGAAAGAGCCTTGTAGCCCAAGGCTATGGGACTTCACTTCAGAAAGTTCTTCAACTCTTGAGCTCCTGTCTCTCTCCCCAAACCTCTACCCTGCCTTCCTAGGTACAGGAAACAAGAACAGAGCTTGAAAGAATGGACTTGAAAGAGCCATGTTGGCAAAATAGGATCCAGAGGAGACAATGACTCCAAATCAAAGCACTTTATTGCACTGTTAAGAGGTCAGCCATGAAAATGTAGCTAGAAAAGGAATCCCTGAGACACAGGGTAGCCAAGAGGAAGAAGGGTCCCAAATCCTTTGAGAAGCAGGGCTCTGATTCCAGAACTGGGCTCAAAAATCACAAAGTAGATGGTTTAAGGCTTTGGGCCAGGCTCAAGCCTAGGTAGGTGGTGTGTCAAGGGCTATGGTCCTTTGCTCCTACCTCACAGCCCAAGTAAACAAAAGGTAGTTCACTGCTTCTACCTGCCACCTGACAGCCTACCCTGAGTAACACTAATATATGACTAGTTCCATTTTTAAAATGGCCAGTTTCCTCTCTTGATTTTGCTCAACACCCAATCCTCATGTCTATGACTTGTTCAGAGTAAAGAGCAATCAACTCTCCCTAAGACCCTGGTGCTACAATAGAATATGGGTCTCAAAATATGAAGTCAGAGACAGGGAAAAAGTACAGTTGGGCTCATAAATCCCAGAAGGGAAAAGCAATAACCCATAAAATGAGTCACCACAGAGGTAGACTTGAAACTAACAACCCTGATCACCCTATCTGAAGCCATTTGAACAGAATATCCCTAGGTAAGGCATCCTGGTGTAGGCCCTGTTGGACTGCTGTATTGGGCAAAGTAAGTCCTGACTTACACTACCTTCCAGGCTGAAGGCACTCGGAACACAGTCCAGGTGGCCAGGCATAAAGGGAAAAGAACAGGCATTCAGCTGGTACAGAACCAAGCCCCCAGCATCACATACCCTACAGCAAGGGAAGAGGTTTGGGAGAAACAAACAATCTGCTGTAAAACTCCCCTTTTCTGTGGGAAGGAGTTAAGTAACAGCAGAAATGGCCTTGTGGTAGAAGAGGGCCCCTGGCTTAGTCCTGCAGCTTATGTGCGATGGTGAGGACAGCCTTCAGGACTGGCATGAAGCTGGACACCTCACTGAAGTTGCTGCACTGCGAGGCCCTGCTCAAAGCTTCCTGCATTCACACATCGGGCCATCTCGTGGAGCCCAGCCAGAACATGGGGTGAGAGCTGTGGAGGGATTGACCCTTAGATTAGCAAGCCCAGCCCAGCCCCTACCCTGACAGCAGGGAAGGGATAAGAGGACTCAAGTTCTAGAGCCCAGTCCAGGCAAGATGAATGTACTTGGGGCAAAGGGAGGTTGATAAGACTTATGGGAAGAAAGGACACGGGCCTTCCTGGTGGTAGAAGGATGGTGGTAAAAGGGCACAGGGCAAGAGGGAGCATAGCTAGGTACTTACTGTCCCCTCGCAGAGCTTTTCATATAGATACTCTAGACGTTGGGCTGCTTCATCCAGCTTCCTTTTTGTCTTCTGCAAGGAGGAAAATGGATTCTGACCCTCCCCCTAAGGCTCACACTATACAGGACTATAAAGACGTGTGGTATATAAAAGCTAGGATGGCCCAGTGTTACTTCCTTCATTTCACAGAGGAATTAGAGGCCCACATATGGTAAGAGACTTGCATAGGCTGACACAGCTAGTGAGCGAATGGAATGGCAGCTTTCCTTACTGCTGGCTTCACTCTCTAATATATGCCTTGCTTCTTGTAAATCTCCATGCTCTTTGGTCCTGCTTTAAGAAGCTGGACTGCAAAGCAGATTCCAAGCCCTCCCCTACTCCACTTGGACATCAAAGACGTACAAGATCTAGTCAACATATTGGGGACAGTCTGAGATCTGTTCTATACCTGAGGTGTCCAGGAACCTGCTGGGGATGTAATGTAAGAAAACAACATAGAAAGTTCAGACTTACTAGGTTGGTTGCAGACAGGGAGCAGCGCTGGAGAAGTGCCTCAAAGCTGTCCTTCAAGGGCTGATGCTCTGGGGGCAGCTCCCTCTGTTCCATCTTCTCAGGAGGCAGTTGTTGAAGTTGCTAGTGAAGGAACAGGGTGGAAGGAATAAAGGTAAGCTGCCCTCATGGCTTCCCTAAGGTGTAGTCAGTCCTCAGTAGCTCAGGGTCAAATTTCCCATCAAAGCAGAGCAGAGCTGAGGAGACAGCCCTCCCCTTCTCTGTAGGTAGGACATCATCAGGGTCAAGGATCACTTCTACTTTGAGCACTGAGCCCAGTTTCTATGTTCCCACTTTTCTACACTCAAGTAAGGCTGGAAAATTTCCCAGGGGAGGGGAGCACATTGTTCTTTTCACCTGCAGGCTGCGTCCTCCTAGAGCTCCAGGAGGAGTACGACTCACAGTGGAGACAGGAGGCTGTGATGGCAGAGTCCACTGTGGCTCAGGGCCAAGGCTCCTAAGTGGAATTGTAATTGGTGCTGGAGGCATAAATGTCTCTGGCAACTAAAGAGAGAACAAAAGGTATGTGTAAAGCAAAGGGCACTAGAGGCTCTGGTTTGAGGGGGTGGCAGAAATTACAAGTAGGCAAGGAAACAGGATAGTGAGTAGGGAACTAGAAACTGCAAAGAATAGTGAATGCTGTAGGAGGAAAAGAGGGAAATGCGGAGGGGGCAGAGATCCACTGGGAAAACAGTAAGAATGAGATGTGGGGAGCTGAATTCTGTAGGAACTAGAAAGTAGGTCACCAGGTGGGAAAAGATGCACTGACCTTTTTCCTCTGGAGGCTTCCCATGGGGGCTGCAGCAACTTTCCAGGAATCCTGAGATCCTATAGAGCAAAAGGACAGGGGTTTTTAGAGGCAAGGTCAGGAACCTTGGAAATGTTTAAAGACTGGAAATTTTATTTTAGTCAGAGTCTGCCATACCTCCCTTTACAGAACAGTCACCAAGAGCCTTAGTTCATTGGCTTGAGGAAAAAGACTTCCAAAGTAGTGTTGGGAAGGGGAAGAGAGAAAGGCAGTACCTGTAAGCAGAAGCATGAAAAGGCTGACCTGGATGAGGAGTCAAGATGCCAATGCTTGGGAGAGCACTGGAGCATGGTGCTCCTGGACCTCCAGGAGGGTAAGTCACAGGGAAACTGACAGGAGAGGCCAGGGGCTGGGAGCTCAGAGTGGCAGGACCTGGTGGTCCCATAGGAGGCAGAGGGAATAGTCTAGGAGTCTCAGGTAGGGAGGTAGAGGCAGGCTGCATGATATCTGGGGATGCCATGAGTGGAGGGGGACCAGGAAGAGGCCATATTCCAGGGAATCCAACCGGGTTTGTACCCTGAGCCCTCTGACCTCCTAACTGCTGCGGCTGAGATAAAGCTGAAGAACAGAAACAGGTCATTTGTCACCAAACTTCAGTTTGAGGGAGATTCTTAGCACATCAGGGAGGAACAAGCCAGCAACATAGAAAACAAAGAACTGAGTGTGAAGGCACACACCTGTGCTGACACCTGTAGTCCCACCTACTTGGGAAGCTGAGGCACGATATTTTGAAGCCAGGCATTTAAGACCAGCCTGGCCAACATAGCAAGATTCCATTAAATTTTTTTTAACCCACAACTGCTAATAATAATAAATGACTAGTACATGTGTATAGAAATCTACAGTACATAAAGTGCTTTTAACTATATTCCTTATGTGTCCTTCAAATAATACTAGAAGATTGAAATGGCCAGCATAAGTGCTTGGGTATGTTGCCAAAAGGTACAAGCCTTCCACCTAAGAGATAATACTAGTAATTCAGTGAGGGATACTATTAGGAATTCAGACTTCACTCTACAAGTACTTTTCTAAAAAAAGAAAAAATTTTTTTAATATTTTTATTAAAAAGACTAAACAAGCTGGGTACACTCCTTTAATCTCAGCCCTCAGGAAGGAGGTAGAGGCAGGAGGATCATGAGTTTAAGGTCACCCTTGGCTTCACAACAAGTTTGAGGCTATCACTGGTTACATGAGACCCTGTCTCAAAACAACAACAAAACAAAGCAAATAGAAATGCCCTTCTCTTTAGGCATCATTGGCATGGATTAGAGGAAGTATGTCTGTCTTTCTTGAGACCTCTGTGCTCTGCGAAGAGATTTCACTTACTCACCAGGCCTTGCTCTAGGGCCAAAAGGCAGAGACTGGGTTGCCTGGGGCCCAGGTACCCTGTAGTCACTTATAGACTGTGTCACTGAGCCTTGAGAAGGGCTAGTATGGGAGGGTATGAAGGGCATCATTAATGATGACTGAGTTGTGGCCCTCAGCCTTGGAGATGGAGTTGAGACCTGTGAAGAGAAAAAAGGGTCAGGATTTAAAAAGAGATTGGGTAGTGTGAGCTTGGGTGGTGTGAGCTTGGGTGGACTCACATCTCTGTGCCCTCTGAAAAACTTCCAGGAGTATTAGAGTCACTAAAGTCTGAGTTCTTTAATACAGAATGCCAGATTCTTAGTGATCTAATTCCTACCTGTTACTCCATCATTTAACCTCATTCCATGACCAGGAATTTTTGGCCTCTATTTTGCAGCCCCACTGAAATGTCAGAAATTCCTCAAAAGGCCTTTGTTTACTCTTGCCTCAATGTCTTTGCATGTGCGGTTCTCTGGGTCTCAAATAGCTTCAACTACTCATTCCCTTGTCTAAATAACTTAGTCTTTAAGACTCAGATCAAGGGCCAGTGAGATGGCTTGCCACCAAGCCCAACAACCTGAGTTTGATCTTCAAAACCCACATGGTAGAAGGAAAGAACTGACTCCCACAAGTTGTCCTCTGATTTACACACACACCTTACCACACATACAAAATGAATAAATGTAATACAATAAAAATAAATCTTAAAAAAAAAAAAAAGAGGGGGTGGCTAGAGACTTGGCTCAGTGGTTAAGAGCACTTCCTGCTCTTCCAGAAGACCCAAGTTCAGTTTCCAGCATCCACATTGGGAGGCTCACAACCACCTGTAACTCCAGATTCAGGAGATCCAACACCTCTTCTGGCCTCCATGGTCTCACACATACACAGCATGCACACACATGGATATACACACACAAATTTAAAATAAAAATCTTTTTAAAAACTAGAACACAGAAATTTTAAAGACTGAATCAAATCAGATATCATAGTCACTCTGGAACACTCCTTGAGCTGTATCCCCAATACATACATACATATACACACACACACATGCACAGGAAATTTATTTTTCTTCTATTTAATCCTATAGCACCCTGACATACCACAGTCATGGCTATTCTAAATTTTACTAGATTTTTTATGTACCTATCTTTCCTCTATACGATGAACTGCTTAAGGGCAAAGGTCATAGCTCATGTTCTAAGATGCTAGTAGATATTCAATAAACAGTTGTTAGAAAAATAATTGAACCTAGGATGGCTCTATGAAGCTAAGAATTTTCATCTGGTTTTGTTCACTAATATATTCAAAGTGCCTGGTACATAAATACTTTTGAGTGAATAAATTAACAAATAAGGTCTTACCTGGTGAGAAGGCTGGGTTCCCAATCTGTAAGATGATGCTTCTTTTGAATGGGAGATAGTTCTTACAGCAACCCGGGGAAAAGGGAAAGTGGGGGCCTGTTGGCCCAAGACAGCAGAACCTTGGGCATGAAAGGGTCGATCTCTCAGCTGTTGAGCTGCTGGCTATAGGAGTTTTAATAAGGAAGAGCTGTGTTAAGGAAATGAAAAGCAGCCATCTTCTTTCACAAGCCTCGCCTCTTTCAGCAAACTCTGGATTTCCATCTCTCTATACTTTAGCCACCTGAAATGACTCAAAGTTCCATAAGCCCTGCCAAACACTTGCCTGCCTCCCCTTCCTGTATATTCTTTCTGCCTGGAATGCCCTAAATGTACTTCTCTTTGAAGTTTCAGTTCGACTGTGTTAGCCACTGAAAAAGCCTTCCTTCACTTTTCCAGAAAAAGTATCACCCTCTTCTTTAAGTCCTACAAAGCTTATGACACTCAAGTTACTGATATGTATGTGAGCGCTCCCAAAAGATTGTTAACTGGTCAAGGGACAAGATCTTATTCATCCTGAGAGCTTCAGCATTAACATAGCATGAAACACGGGCATGGTCAGTGCTAGATGAATGATTAGAATGGTTTGCTCTTTCCCATGGCCATACTCACCTGGGCACAGTCATTGGGTAGGAAGCTCATGGCAATGGCCAGGCTGCCCTGAGATGCCAGGAGATTGGCATACTGGGTGACCCTGTAGGTTGTGGCAGGACCTAGGGTCATTCTGTCAGAACCCTGCAGCAACTCCAAACTCCTGCTGAGGACCATCACCTTCTCCATCAGGTCCTGTTGAGACAAGGATGAGGGGGATCATCCTGCTTTCTTGGTCCAAGTGGCTCACCTAGGAACATTCCACCATGGAGGAAAGTAGAATACCACATCATGGTGAAGGCATGTCTAATAGACAGTGACATGTTAGAGACAAGGTAGGGCCATGTGGCCTCACCTAAGTTGTTAGGGCTAAGATCAACTGAATTCATGTGGGTCTTAGAGATTCCTTTCTTTAGGATTTGCATTTATTATTTTTAGTTATATGTATGTATCTGTGTGTGGATGTGTACACATGAGTGCAAGTGCCTTGGGAGTTTGGCAAGGCATGATGGACTTTTGTCTCTTCACAAGTCTGTAACTCCACCATCTCTGATCACCCACAGAGCACCTCTTCAGCTCCATAGAATGTTTCACAGAAATTAACAATTAACCACATATTGAATTAACTTGTATGATGACAGCTATGATGGGAAAATTTTACGAAGGCTGATACTCAAGCAGCAGCTGCTCGGCATCCTGTGAAAGAAACTGATTACTTCACCCTTGGAAGATGGCATCAAACACTGAGGGCCCTTTGCTCCTCCCCAACATTTGGCTTCAACTTACCCAGAAGATATGCCTCTGATATCTGCACATCCCTACTACTAGCCTCTTCTAAGAACCTGGAGTGGCCAGAACTCTGCAGAGAAGAGGTACCTGCAGAGCCCTGGGGCATGAGGCACGGTGGGGCTCTGTCCAGCACTCTACCAGTCGCTCCACACTTCTTGAGCACACGTAGCAGAGTCTGGCTTCAGAGGTGAGTGCCCTGCCCCCCTCCTGCTCCATTCGAGTTCCCAGCATGTCTGTGGAGAAGAGATGCAAACTTGATTAATAGCACAGCTTCCCTGTGCTAGTCTTCCTTCACCTGTTTAGAGACAAGTGGAGGATCATGAGCTATGGGACAAAATTTTACAATGGCTTTAAGGTAACTCAGGCAAACCTTGCTCTACAGTGAAAAGCAAAGATCTTGCCTTAAGGTGTGACAGAGAGAAATGAGATAGAACATAAATGAGAACTCCAGGAAATGAGACTGTGGTCCCTGCCTCCTGACTGAACCAGATCCCAGCCCCAACAGCATGGCTGTCTCCCAAAGTTCAAGCTGCCCCTTGGCCTCCTCCTTCCATATAGCTATTAACATATACTGGTGTCATACTTACCACAGAGTTCAGGAAATTTCTCTGGCCCTGAGTATGTCAGTAGCAAGGCCAATGCCTCTCTCCAGTTCTTCAGGCTACAGGCACATACCAGGTCCTTCCAATTCTTCTTCACAATACAGGCCAGAAGCTGTACTGGGCAGAAAGGGAAGGAGGCCCTCAGCCAGCCAGCCAGCCAGCATAGGCAGCAGGTGTTACACACAGGAATATTCTAAAACCACTCATGTTAGAGAACACTGAATAGGGCTGGCAGTGACATAGAGGTTGTTAGAGAAGACACAGGCAGATACTCTAAACACCAGTCCCAAGGTATGGGCCTCCACCTGACAAGGTCCAAGTAATCCCCTCCCCTCTTCTCTTGTGTGATAGACAAGTACCGAGGAGACTCTGGTTCTCCTCTTGGCCAAGTAGCGCTCTTGTGTCCGCTGTAGCAGATCTTCTCCTCCAGCCTGAGCCAGGATGATGGCATCAGCAAAGCGCTCTTCCTTCATACACAGCTCCACAGCAGACCCCAGTTCCCCAAGCAGCAGGGCCTGGCTCAGGAGTCCATCAGTGCCTGCAGGCAGAGGCATCTTCTCCACATTAGCCTGTCCTCACACTCTTTTCCTGTCCCCTGCAGGCCCCATACCACACCCATCTCTATCTCTAGCTCATGAATGAAAGCTAAGGATGTGAAAGCTTCCTGGTGTGTTTGAAGACCTCTCTCTATCTCAGGCTGCCTGGCTCCATACAAAACTCTAATTGCATTCCTGTGTAATAAAATGCAGTATCCAGGGGTTTCCAGGTCCAACTGTAACTCTCTGAAAACAGGACTTAAATCAGAGAGGGCCTCATAGTGTAGGATCACAGGTATGATGTGTGCTTGCACAGCATGCGCAAGGTCACCAGTTCTTTCAAGCAAGAAACAAGAATTAGAAAAAAGACCTTAGTAGAACGCCATCTGTAGCAAGGACATGGCCATTAGAATCTATGACTAGAAAGTGCTAACTGGTAAGAGGCCCACCAGTGTTTCAGATGTTAGGAGAGGGGCAGGAGACAAAAACAACTCTCAAAACCAAGAACTCTGGGCCCACCTGCTCCCAAGCTGTGAGTTTCTCTCCCTCAGAGCCAGGGTACCTTCTGTGATGGGGATTTCCCATGGGGTCATGTTCTGAGGGACCAGCTCATCAAAGGCTGAGGATGGAGACGCTTCCTCTGTGGTATGTTTGGAGGCCTGTACGAAGGACAGAGGAGACTATGCAGGCTCTGAAACCAGAATACAGAGAGCATGCTCTCACCAAGAGCTCTACTATTTGGTCCTTAGTGAGTAAAGCTAAAAGAATAACCAGGTAAGATTTGGGAAGCACCCTAGTTCATGATCCTGATACAAAAGCTTATGGACTCTGTCTCACCCTGGTCCCAAGAAGCAAAGACTTCTACAGAAGCTTACTGAGAACAAGTGAAGGGGCTGACAGGGAGAAGGCACCTTAAAGGCAGGGCTTCTATGCTACCTTAAATCGGCTGGCTGGCCTTCTACCATACCTGGCTGCAGAAGGCATGTTGTCTGTTACTTTTGAGGTCAACTGCCTCAGGCTGAGGGCTCTCCCCTAACTGCAAGTCATTCTTCAGCCACGTGTCCACCTGTGAGGAGAGACTATGAATGCCATCCTTGCCCGTGCATGCTCAGGCAAGTCTGTTCCTATCCCCCATGCCCCACCAACTACAGACTATAAGGTCCTTTATCCATTTTTTTCTGGAGAAAAGCCGTATTTATTCTGGGAGATTAAAATGCTCATATAGTCATTAATTAAAGTCAGATGTTCCAAAGCAGCTTCCTCAAGCAGGATTCTCTTGTTTTCTACAGAAAGCATGTTTCAGATGTGGAAAGCAGTTTACCTTCTTCTGAAGCTCATCTTTGTTGTATCCTAACAGCTTGAGAAATTTCATCCTAGGGTCATGCTCTAAGGTCACCTAAGGAACCAGAAAACACAGAAAAGTCTCCATTAAATGGATGTGAATGGCCCTTCTCCTATACCATGATGGACAGCTGCGTCAGTGTACTCTCAAACACAGTTCCATGTACAATCAAAAGTGCCCTCAAAAGGCACTATCTCTCCACTTTCTTCCTCATATTTGACTTGTAGCTGGGCTATGGACAGTATTATAACCTTCTGTCCCTTCTGTATGAGAATTTACCTTCAGTTGACTTTCTAACTATTACCCTGGTAACTTGACGAGAAAAAGTCAGCTATTCTGAGGCAATATAGCTTCTAATTGGTAAATTGCATCTGGCCTGGAACCACATAAATAGCTGACATGGATACTGCATCAGGGTTTTTCTGGTTGCACTGACTCTCAACACTGGACAGATCCCTGTGGGAACTCTGGAACTGATGTCTGGCTCCTGTGCCCAAGAGTCTTCTTAGTCAGGGCACCTTGCACATTTGCCTGTGTGTATCTATCTCATCTTCTTGCATCTGAGCTGTCTGAGGAGCTGAAGAGAACTCTGAATTGCTGCATGGACTGCAGAAGGCTATCACAGCAGAGGACTGACTGATGCTGCCCTCCCTGGTGATAAGCTGTGTTTCCTGTCCCACATTCCTCTGAGGAGACTAATAACAAGTATAAGCCACAGTAGTCTTGGGATTCTAAATGTAGGGTTGAGAAGACAACTGGTAAAAGTTGCCCAGATTCAGTAAACAAAGTCAGCTTCCCACTCGGTATCCCACATGCCAAGGACCAAGAAGGTGGGTCAGCTGACCTGCACCCTTTGTTTAGTCCGCACTAAACAATGAATTCTGACTATAACCTTTCTTACAACCTCTTGGCTCCCTCCTCCTTCCATGCTTTCTCTTGGAAATGTTCCTCCACATTCAGCTTCAGAAACCATCATGATGGACAGCACTGAGTATTTATTTATTTATTTATTTATTTATTTAGTGTCAGGGTGTGTGCATGTGTGGCACAGTGCATGTGCAGAGAAGCCAAAGGACAATTTGTTGGCATCAGTTTTTCTCCTTCCACTGTGTGGGTTCCAGTGATCAAATTCGGGTCATCAGGCTTGGTAGCAAGCATCCGTACCTGCTGAGCCACCTCACCAGCACATGAGTAGATTTTAAAGCAGACTCCCCTCTGTCCTTGGGTATCATGGCTTTGTGCAACTGAGTAAGGCTGACCTCCTGCTCACTTCTGTTTCCTTTCCCATCCCACCACTCCCGGAGCTTGTATTACACCTATATCAGCAGCATCATTTCTGAAAAGATCACTTTCAAATCCTTTTATGAGTCTCAGTTCCTGATGTGTACCTTCACAAAACCTAACTATAGCTGAAGCACAGACTCTGAGTCCCTCTCAGACCCCTTGGGATAGGCACTGCCCTCTTTGAACTCTTCTTTATAATCCCAAATGGCACAATCCCCCAGGGAAAGCTGCTTCCCTTTCTTCCTTCAGAGCTCTCATTTTCCCACTTCCTGGTGTGTGTGTGTGTGTGTGTGTGTGTGTGTGTGTGTGTGTGTGTGTGTACATGGTATAGTGTTAAACATCAAAACAGGGACTCATGCAAGCCAGGCAGGCAGGTGTTCTAGCTACATCTCCAGCCCTGCTTACCCCTTTGACAGGTATAACATGCCTCCTGTGTGTCATAACTTGACACAATTAGGACTAAAATTGAATCCCTACCTCGAAACAAGAGTGGCACCTGAACTTTTGAGCCTACCATGAATATTTGCCTTAGGTTACCTAAAACAAAGGCAAAACCTTCCTATGATTATATACTCCTCCAACAACTCTTTCCTTCCTTTTTCTGTTTCCTTCCTCTCTAGTTCCTTCTCCTTTCTCTTTGGCATGATACTATGAGCACCTTCGCCTTGGCTGCCAAAGTACCTAGGGCACCAGCAACAGCAGCAAGAAAGGAAAAGTTCCTTTGTACTCTCCATCTTCACAAGTGGCCTCTGAGCCTCCAGTAAAGGGTAAGGATTCTGTGTCTAGAGGACACAAAAATCAAGCCAGGGTTAGGGCTTCTTGAACCTGGCTACACCATGCTTATTTCATCTCCTGGAGTTGATAGAAGCTAGAGCTCTGCATTTTCAGGCAGTCGGCCTTCAGGCTTCCTACCTTCAGGAACTGCCAGAGCATCTTTTCACTTGGCAGTGAAGCTTGCTGGGCCTTGTTCTGACAATACTTAAGGAGATTTCCAGATCCCAAGGCTTCCTGCAGTTCCACTGACCGCATCAGGAATTCAGATTCTGTAGTAACTTGACTAATGAACACAGGATGGAAACAAGACTGAGGCATCTGCTGGACAGGCACACTAGGGAGGCCAAAGGTAACCAGCTTTCCCCCAAACTGGTGAGAAAAAATAAGAAAGGAAAAGGTTATACTTTCAAACCAAACACTAACACCAAGTCAAGATCACAGGGAAGGCTATCTGTTGATCAAGCCTTAGATAGGAAACCCACAGAGAGCTCCTAAACATGAAATAGGATCAGAAATTGAGTACTGAATGGATCCTATATGACTCACTTCTACAGTCTTACTATCAGCAGCTTCACAGTCCTAGTACCACCGTCTCTCAGGCACCTGGCCTAAACACGGTGGTACTACACAGTTTATATCCACTACAGCCAAGCAACAACAGTCTTCCCTTTCATTATTCAATGCTTCTCATGCAGGTCCACTCCTTTCTATTCCCTGTGCTAACACATCTAGATTCCTAGAGAGTTTGCTAAGCTTTGTCTTTCTCCACTTTCCCAGTCCAAGGCTTACAGCCTACACTATTGCTTATACCACCCTGTTGCTACTTGGGACCACAGGAGGACACTTACATTCCTCTTTCTGACTTGCACAAAATCCTACAAAGTTAGGATTAAACATGTCTACCCCAACATCTTTCTCCTTGGTTATTTATGTGACTGTTCCACAGTCCCAAAATGCCCAGGTTTATTCTTGCTTCTGCCTTTACTTACAACATCACCTAGCCCTCCTGCTGCATCCTTTTAACTAAAGCACATGGCACAAAGCAAGAGCTTCATTCAGCAAGTTCTTCCTCCAGCAGTTCTCAATCTTAGCTAAACAGTAAAACTATCTAGAAAGCTAACCAGTCAATAGGCCACATCCCAGAAAATGATCCCAGAAGGTTAGGGGAGAGGGGGAGGAAGGTTGGTGTGCTGGACAGCTTTAGTTGTCAACCTGACACAACTGGGTAGAGGACACCTCAACTGGGAAATTGCCTCCATCGGACTGGCCTGTGGCCAGGTCTGTAGGATATCATTTTCTTGGTTGTTGAGTGATATGAGAGGGCCATACCCACTGTGGGAGGTGCCACCCCAGGCCAGTTGTTCTGTATTGTAGAAGAAAGCAGGCTGAGCATGAGCCAGGGGACCAAGTCAGTAAGCAGCATTCCTCCATGGCCTGTGCTCCAGCTCCTGCCTCCAGGTTCCTGGGCTGCCTCGGTGATGAACCTGGGAGATGTAAGCTAAATAAACCCTTTCCTCCCCAAGTTGGTATTGGTCAGAGTGTTTTGTCACAGCAATCGAAGGCAGACTAGAACAGTTCGCATCAGTATTTTTTAAATCTTCAGGTTATTCCAATGTGTTGCCAAGACTGACAAACACTGCTTTATTCTCTAACTAGTCACTATTTCCTTTCCTAAAACCCATTTGCTTAGTGAATTTCTTAGTCAGAATTATACCACTTATAGCATAAAACTTAGGGTGCCATTTAGTGCTCAACACCACCATTTAAATTGTTTAGTACTTGACAGTGTACTATTCTTTTTTTATTATTTATTTTTTATATTTTATTTATTATTTTTATTTTATGTGTATGAGTGTATTGTCTGCATGTATGTGAGTGCTCCTGTGTGGTACAATGCCACAGAGGTCAGAAGAGGGTTTTGGATTCCCCTGGCACTGGAGTTAAGAATGGTTTGTAGCTGCCATGTGGGTACTGGAAATCGAACCTGGGTCCTCTGCAAGAATAGTCAGTGTCCTTAGCTGCTGAGCCATCTCTCCAGCCCCTTTCATCTATTCTTATCTGAGGTTCTGTCAATTCATGAAAAAACTGGACAGGTATTACTATTTCTGTTTTACAGAGAAGACCTGGAAGTCCTGAGAGGTTAAATGACTCGCTCAGAGTTACCTAGCTACTTAATGACAGAATTATGGCAAGAATTCTTCACTACCCTCTTCCTCCTTTTTGTGGTGGTGGGATGGTGGTAGTCATTAAACCCAGGGCAACAGGGATGCTACATCCCAAACCCCCTCCTCTCGGTTCATAAACTCATTCCTTCTTAAGTATCTCAGTCATAACCTCATAATAAAAGTGCTGGCTCTACAGACACAAACCCCTATAATTTTTCAAATCAAGCCTAGTATCTAAAGAAAGTATTGTGTTAGGTTCTTCAGGACCTGCTGGCTCCTCAGACCACCAGCAAAGATACCACCTGGGAATTTGTTGGAAAACTGGAATCTTGAGCCCTACACCAGATCCACTCAACCAGAACCTAAATTTAGTAAGATCCTCAGGAGATCTTTATGCACATAAATTTGAGAAGCGCTGCTTTGAGGATAGAAAACCAACAGGACATGGTATGTACCCTAGAGAGGTGATTACTTAGCAGGGTCTACAAACATATACACACACATATGTATATATACACATACCATAACAACTTTATATGGTTAGAATATAGCATTACAGGAATACAAATCCAAGAACTATAGAAGGGAGGCTAATTTTGGCTAGCATTAAGGAAGAGATGGTATTTAGGTAGGAGGTCTTCAATGCCCACAATGGGATTCAGTGGGTACAGGAGAGAAGCTGAAGGATAGAGTAAAGCAGAAGCAAGAGAGACAAGGAGTTATTCCTGGACAGAAATGAGTCACATGTAACTGAGACACAGGAACATGTGAAAATGAGACAGGAATAAAACTGGCAAGGTAGGTGGAACCCTGGGTATATTTAGCCTTAAGTCTGTAAGGTGATGGGAGGATCAGAGGTTTTGAGTAGAGGGATGGCAAGATAAAAATCTACATATTTTTTCTTTTCTTCCTTGCATTCCTTGCTACCAGTCCAGACATGTAAGGGTTACAGAAATCTCTGGTAGCATCTTGGGCTGTTCTCTATAAGAAAGAGGTCTAAAGTAAACCATTCCTTTTAGACAGAATTGGCTCAGTGATCAAGGTACAGAATGGGTAACAGGGTAAAGAGAAAAGCTAGATCAACCACCTGCTTGAGAGGTGGAGGGGGACCTGATCTGAGACAGGTATTGGAAACAAATTTCCTTAACTTAGCTTCTTGCTGGGCACATGGGAGTCTTCACACACAATCACACCAAACACTCTTAACACTTACAACAAATGAAACACCTGCTGGCCTTCTAATCCACTTGGGAGGCTTTTTCAGGGAGGTATTAACAATGCTTGGGCCACTTGCTCTGGTACCTGCAGTGGTGGGAGAGGCTGGCCTTTGCTGAAGGAAGAGGAGATCTGGAGGAAAGGGACACCTGTGTTACCAGTATCAAGTGGAATCTTGGTCAGGAACTGTTATAAACTCCATTTGGGGAGGAATTTTTAATATATCCCATTTGACCTAGGAAGGCCAGACTCCCACATTCTAGGAGATGGAATGGGACTGGAAGTGAATGGGAAGCTCATGCACTAGCCTCTTGGAAAACCTACTATTTTTGAAGTCTATATTGGAGTGTGACACCAAATACATCTACAGCAGAGATAAGATAGCCCATACCCATGAGACAGCAGTCCCCAAAGAGAGGTTCAATGTCCATGAAATACTAAAAAGAACACCTAATAACAAGAGTCAAGGTGACAGAGCCCTTATTGTGTGGCAAAAACTGACTTCTTTCCAGGATGTTAGATATGGGAACAAGGTATATCCCCCCAAAACCCAGGGTCTGGTCTCCCTATCTTTAATAGCTCCTATTTCTTCCCAGGTTATGTGTCCTTCTCTCCCCGCCAAAACACAGATGGCTCTTCCCTCCAGCACTCTCTAGCAAGCCCTCAAACTTTGTCAGTCTGCCTCATGTGCTGGACCTCCCAGCTCCTACCCATCACAGAGTACAAACTGATCCAGCCATCAAAGGAGACAGCAGAGAAGACAGGAGGGTTCTGAGGGCACCACTGCACATCAAAGCACCAGCTGCTCTGTGTGGGTAGCTTATATACCACCTGCCATGAGAGAACATTATCATTAGGCACAGTCCAGCAAACCCTGACTTAGGTAACTCAAAACACATAGCTGGGATTCCTCCACAGTCTTACCTCCATCCCAGCACGCTCACAGGATCAGCCTACCTCACTGCTTTCTAGGTTCCAACAAAAGATCTGGTTGTCTTTGGCAGTACTGAGCAGCAGCTCAGCATCAGCCTGGCTCCACGACATTGACAAGATCCCCCTGAAAAAGAAAAGAGGAACTAACATCTATTGAATGCCTACTATGACTAGACTGTCCTTAATATCTTAGCTAAGGCTCACCCTATAAAATGGATGGTCTAATTTCATTTTCCAAAGAGGAAAACAAGGCTTTGAAAAAAATAAGTACCTTTCAGACAGTTGCATAGCCAGAACCCACATCAAACCCTGAGCACTATGACCCACTCTGCTTCCCATAGTTCCCTGCTGAGTGGCCTGCTTTTTAGCAATTAGAGTAAAATTGTGAATTAGTATGAATTACATAAACACCCATTCCTAGGATGCTTTTAGCCCCCCAGTGAAGACCTAACCCTCTAAACTCCTGAAGGAAGTATCTGGGGAGATAGTTCAGTTGGTAAAGACTTGAGTTCAATCCCCAGTACCCACATAAAAAAGCCAGGTATGGTGGTAAATGTAATCCCAAGACTGGGGAGTCAGAGGCATGGTCATCCCTGAGGTTCTAGCCTAATTGGCCACCTTCAGGTCCAATGAGAGACCCTGTCTCAACAAACAAGGTAGACAGCTCCTAAAGATTAATACCCAAGGTTGGCCTCTGCTCTGTGCCCACACATGCATGCATACCTACACACCTACACACACACACACACTCCTGAAGGAGGAATAAAGGCAGCATGGCTCCTTTGTTAGAAAAAGCACATTGTGGAGCTGCTCCCTCCACTAAGAACCACAGCTTCAGGGGCAGTCCTGTTCATGAACAGATAGGCTCCAAGTTGCTTTAATTAAGTCTTGCAGGAGATGACCCACTTGGAGAAATGAGCATTGGCCTCAGATCAGAGCCAAGGAACTCTCTCAAGGAGACTGTTAAACATGGGGGTTTTGCTTTGGTTTGTTCTGCTTTGTTTTTTGAGACAGGGTCTCTGTAGATCAGGCTTAGCCTCAAACTTATTCTGTAGCCCAGGCTGGCCTTGAACTCCCAGCAATCCTCCTCCTGAGCACTAGGATGGATCACCGGCATGAGCCACTATACACAGCTTATACTTTGGATGTTAAGTGTCTCCCAAAGGACCATATGTTAAAGCTGGGTCCTCAGAGAGGTACTATTGTGAAGCCTCCCATTGACAGGTAAGGTAGGGTAAGAGGACTGCGGATCTCTGAAAGCAGGCCCTGAAGGGAACACTGGGACCTCATCCTCTTCCCATTTCTCTTTTGCTCCCTGGCCATTTTGTTCTGTTACACACTCCTGCCATAACTTTCTGCCATATCATAGGCCCAAAAGTAATAAAGTAGTGCTGGAGAGATGGCTCAGTGGTTAAGAACACTGGCTGTTCTTGCAGAAGACCCTGGTTCGAATCCCAGCACCCATACAGCTGCTAACAACTGTCCGTAATTCCAGTTCCAGGGTATCCTACAGCCTCTTCTGTCCTCCATGGGCATTGCACAACATGGATTCACTTACCTACATGCAGGCAATACACTCATACACATAAAATAAAAATAATAAATGAAATATTTAAAAAATAATGTGAATCAATCATGAATGGAGACCTCCAACACAGTGAGCTGAATTAAACCTTTTTTCTTTATAAGTTAGTTACTTCAGGTAGTTGTTATAGTTGTTATAGTGATGGTTTGAATATTTCTCATGAACCCATCCACATTCCCATCTCTGGAAGTCAGATGGACTCACACACTCCTCTATAACCTCAGGCTCCATAGGAACTCCTCTTAGTTAGGGATAAAGCTAGCATTGGCTGTGTTCTCTGCAGTGGCTTGGAAGCCAGGGATAATGTTTAGTAGCTAAAGGAAGCCCCTGTAGATGGGGTTTGAGATGCTACCTGCTGTGACTCTCCAACACCTTCAGGGGTAAGGAAGCAAAGCGCAGGTCCCACAACTGAATCACTGGGAGCCGGTCATCTTCTGAACATAGCACTAACTGGGTAGCAATGTCTGGGTGCCAGGCCAGACCCGAACAGTTCATCTGTGAACAGAATAGATCTCAATGGGTGATACAACCTAACTCTTCAGATTATGAACCTTTCTGCCAAGTTGGAATGAAACAACTCTAAGGATACTATTTATGTTTCTTCTATATGGCAGAAACAACATCAGAGATTAAGTGATGGCTGTGAACAAGTAAGGTACACCAAAAACATCCACATCAGCTGTTTAAGTTTCCTAAGCATTCATTCTTAAATAGGAATTCTGTTAAGGAGCTGAATCTACATATCCAACATTGGAAAATGTACTCTTGGCCTGGGTAAAAGCAACTTCAGTTGTCTGGTACAGAAAGAAGCCAGAGCCCAGGTAGCTTACTACTCACCCTGCTGCTGTGGTCACTGACTTTGATGATAGGCTCATTCTTCCTGAGATCCCACACAACTGCCTTGCCACTGGGGTAAGCAGAAGACAGAATATGCTGGACTTGCCGGTTCCAAGACAGGGCCTTGATGTCTTCTGAGGGCTGCTAAGGCAAACAGTGGGAAGGACAATCTGTCACCCTCTGAACCAAGTGATACCTAGTTTTTTTTTTTGTTTGTTTTTTTGTTTTTTTTGAGACAAGGTCTCCCTGTAGCCCCAGCTGGCCTGGAACTCACTATGGAGACCAATCTGGCCTTGAACTCATAGACATTTGCCTGCCTCTGCCTCCCCAGTGCTTTTCACTACTCCCAATCACCCATAGCAAGCCCAAGAGGAGACAGGCCCAAGTGGGTTACCTCCTGCAAGACTTAATTAAAGCAACCTGGAGCTACTCAAACCAAGACAATCCCAGGGTGCTGAAAGCTGTGTTTTCCCAGGAGGATCTTTTAAGGTATAGAGTCAAGATTGAAAAATAACCCTCCTATCTAGGACAAAGAGAGAAGGAGGGGAAGAGGAAGGGGAGAGAGCAAAACAAATACCAAGACCCCCAGAGAAAGTGAAACAGAAAAAAAAAAAACTAGTGCTACTTTTAGGGCACTAGGTGCTATCAAGCTTACATATTAACTTACCTCATAAGACTGGAAGTGCAAGACAGAGAAAAGCCAGGAAGCAAAGAGATGGGCCAAGTTATAGACCAACAGAGAGGCACACTCAGAGACTGAAGACCCACTAGACCCACTGCATGGCAGAGCCAGCAGCAGAGACAAAGCTGCCTCTCCCCACAAAAAGGATGAAGGTACGTCCAGAGTTCCACTCCAGCTCGCTATCCACTGCACCCACAGCCTCAGCCAGCCCTGTCCCCCTGACTGTGATAAACAGCCTCCTACACCTTTCTCAGTGTCTTTGCCACCCATGTCCTTCACTTCCTTCCAGAAACTTTTTTTTTCCTTTTTGGGGTCTTTTTGAGACAGGGTCTCCTTGTAGCCCTGGCTGTCCTGGAACTCTATGTAGACCAGGCTGGCCTTGAACTCACAGAGATCCGCCTGCCCCTGCCTCCCGAGTGCTGGGATTAAAGGCGTGCGGCACCACACCCGGCCTTCCAGAAACTTTTTAAATAGCTAATGATTACAAACCAACTGCTCCACATACCCTCCATCCTGACTGGTAGCACTTTAGTCTGTGGAGTTTTATTGCCCTCCAGTGGTAAAGCCTGAAACCTCTTATATTCTGACTGGTCCTAGAATTCAAAATTACCTGGGAAAACTAGCTTCACACGCCAAGCAGCAGCCTCAGGTGGGATGAGTTTCCTCACCTGTGACTTGGATCCTGGGGTCATCAGAACACTCAGGTTGTTCAAATCCCAAATGAAGATTTCAGAATCACTGCCTCCAGAGGCCAGGAGATTACCCTGTATGAATAAAAGGTATTTCCAGAGACCCCATTCACAAAAACAGAAAAAAGGGGAGGAGACCTACATTTAGGATAGCCAAGGCCCCCCACTCACACACCCATTACAGCCTGGAGAGGGTTCAGAGCTACAGCCTAGAGGTGCAAGTGAATGCTTCCATTCAGACCTGCTGCTCCATGCCTTGGCCATGTTTGATCAACTGAAATGTAGTACCTGGAAAGGATTAAAGTCTAGAGCTCTGACAGGCCCTGTGTGTTTCTGTCTCTGGGCAATCACTGGCTCCTTTCCTGAAGACAGGATGTGGGTCACATTGTACAGAGTAAGCATGCCATTGTCCCCGCTGCCAGCAAGAACCCCGGAGCTTTCTGGAAGCCCATTGCCAAAGCTCCCCCAGATTAGCTTGTGAAATCTACAAAGAGAAAGAATTTGCATCAGCACCAACTTAGGTACATGCCAATATGCAAAGGACAGACGTCTTTGCCAACCATCATGCTGATACCCCCCAACCCAAGCCTGGATCTGCCTGTCTTCTTCATTTCCCAGACACACAAGGGAAGTCTCCTTTGCCTGGTCTTGCCCTTCCTCTGGAAAAAATATTTCCTCTATGTTACATTAGAAGTCAGGAAGCCATTGCCTGGGTTATATGGGAATGTTTTTTGTTTGCTTTTAAGTTAACATTGAGTTACTGAGACCCAGTGATAACTACTTCAAATAATTTAATCCTCACAACTCAAAAAGTCAAGTAATAACCTGGCCAGCATGGTGACTCATGCCTATAGTCCCAGCATTTGGGAATTAGAGCCAGGAAGATCAAGAATTATTGAACTCATCTCCATAGCAAGTATAGGGTGAACGTAAGTGACCTGCAGGCCCTGTCTTAAAAAAATTAAAAAAAAAAAAAAAACTTTATTGACTACTCAAGTACTTGTTGTGTAACAGACACTTTTTTTAGTGCTTTACACGTATTAAAGAAAATGAGCACAAAGTCAAGACGATCTCATTCCAGAGCCTATGTTTTTAACATCATACAATACTGCCTCCCATGAGAGGAAGACCCAAACTCTCCTCTCTGATCAGAATCAGATTCCCCAGGCCAATGACTATCCTGAAGTGAAATCCTTAGGACCTCCCTTCATCATGCATTTTCCATGTGGCTGGTCCCCTGGAGCTGCCATGTGACTGCAGTGGACTAGCTCTAGGGACACTGAGGCACAAAACCCCAATTGGAAAATACTTTTCTGGCTTTCTGAGAATGCTTTCAACAAGCAAGTGCCAGTGTTTTGCACAAAAGAAAAGGATAAATGCTGGATCCCCGACAGACAAGTTTGGATTCCATGCAAAACCCCATGGGAAAGCATGTGAAGTCACACCTGATAGGGCATCTGTCTCCCAGTTTACTGTGGCTAGCAATTGAGAGAAGCCAGATTTCACACCAAATGATGTCACAAGATCCCTAACTACAATGAAACATTTCCACATTCTGAGAACAGTCAGCAAAGAAACAGGGGACAAGAACTAACAGGGCAAGAACTCGTTTGCCAGGCACTTGAGCACAGCCAACCTGGCAAGAGGACAAAACTAAGCACCAGTCCAGACTGGGCTTACATCTGAAGAACAGAGGAGCAGAAAGCTGACACAAATTAAACGGCTCTGAGGCAACCGTCGGTCAGCAGGCAGTTTTCTAAGGTTGTACCAATCTGCATGTGGCAGAGAAATGTGTCCATAGTGGCTCAAGAAGCTGCCGTGTCATTCAGAGACTGGAGCTCCATGGGAGCAAAGGGCAAACCACCAGGGAAAGCAGAGACATGGGTCACACAGGAACCAGAGAGGGTATGGCCATTGGAAACACTGGGTAGAGACTTAAGTATGGTTAGAGCACAGTGCATTCAGACCAAAGTAAAAAGACCTAAACCCTCAAGAGGGAATCACCACATGATTAGAGAAGAAGGGAGTTACTTCAGAGGAGTCAAAATGCAGAATACAGGCTATGACAAAATGGTTCTTTATGCATGCAGCAAATACATTTCTGTTGTTCACTACCTTGATAGCTGCGGGGAAACTAGCACTTAGAGAGACTGTGATAAAGAGCACCCAAGAGAATGGGACTACATGGATCAAGTTAAGCAAGGAAGGAGATTCTGCTCTGCTCAAGGAGTGTCAACAGTCTCTGTAAATGGACAGAAAACGAGATACTTGTGGGGCCTAGGCAAACAGGAGTAAATATGACAAAATGTTAACTAATGTAGCAAAGTGAAGGTTACATAACTTCATTGTAGCTTCAGCAATTTCCCTGTTTGAAATTTTAGAAGATAAAGTTAAAAGCAAAGATAATGGCATTTACCATGAAAATAGGAAATGAAAGTTTAAAGAAGGAGTATGATGAAGTGTTTGTATAGAAGGCAGAAGCTTTTAGATGTAAGGAATTCTCTGATAAAGGTGATCCTAGGATAATGAGGGCAATAATGGAGACCCATGTCACATCACAGAATAATGGGCTACATCTACAGAACATGGGTTCCATATTCCCACCAGATGTCATGAAACAGGATGTCCAGTGACAGGCCATCAGAATCTACTCTTTTTTATGTATATGAGTGTTATGCCTACATGTGTATAAGTACACTCATGTTGCATAGCGCCTGCAGAAAATAGGAGAGGGCATTGGATTCCGTGGAACTGGAGTTATGGATGGTTGTTAGCCACCATGTGGGTGCTGGGATTTGAACCCGGGTCTTCTGCAAAAACAACCAGTGCTCTTAATAGAATCTATTTTTTTTTTAATGTGTGTGAGTGTATTGCCTACATGTATGTGAGTGCACCCGTGTTGTGCAATGCCGCAGACATCAGAAGAGGGCATTGGATTCCCCTGGAACTGGAGTTAAGGATGGTTCGTAGCCGCCATGTGGTACTAGGAATCAAACCCAGGTCCTCTGCAATAGCAGTCAGTGCCCTTAACCGCTGAGCCATCTCTCCAGCCCCAGAATTTACTTTTTGATTTTTATTCATGTGTACACGTGTGTGTCTTGTGTGTCTGTCATGTGAGTGCAGGTGCCCATGGGGGTCTGAAGAGGGTGCTGGATCCACTGGAGTTATAGGTGATTGCAAGTGACCAATGCAGGTTTATGTTAACAATAAAGCCTACACTCTCTCTGTTCTATGATTTGATGCTAATAGAAAGAAGGCAAGTCTTGAGAACAAAACAACTAAAAGAAGTATACAAAATGATTTTTTTTCCAGTTTGGTATTGCCCCTTAGCACTCACAGAAAGGTCACTATGTTCTCCAAATATCTAGAAATAAACAGAGAAGGACAGATAAATCACCTACTTTCCCCCATGTCACTAGAGGATGGGGTTCTACAGAGATTATATGGGCTATTCAGAGATCTAAAACCTCTAGGCAGAAGGAAAAGAGTAACAGATCACATATTGGCCTCTGACCTCATTCAGGCATAGCTACTACCTACCTCCCCAGTCAATGATATAAAAATATTCTCCCCCAAACCTTTTTCCATAGCCAAGTTTATCTAACAAACCACATTCAGCTTGCTTCAGTGCATGTGCTAAGCTATGTGGGCTTACCTCAGGTGGCACTTATCCACGAAGTCCCTTCAGTCTATTCATAGCAAGTTCTTCAGAACATTTCTTTTTATGTGTGTTTTGCCAACACATATATAAGTGCACTTGTGCATGCAATGCCCACAGATAACAGATCCCCTGGAACTGGAGTTACAGATGACTGTTAGCTAGCATGTGGTTGCTGGGAATTGCACCTAAGTCCTCTGTAAAAGCAGTCAGTGCTATTAACTACTGAACCATCTCTCCAGCCCCTAGAACATTTCTATGTCAGATATTTCTGGAAAGATATTTCTAAGATGCATCATAGGTTGAGAAAAGGGGAATATTCAGCGCCAAAATCTGGTTGAGGCATGCATTTGAAGAGAAAGGTAATTTAAACCCAGCACTTAGGAGGCAGAGGCAGGCAGATCTCTGAGATTTAGGCCAGAGAAGTCTACACAGAGAGTTCCAGTTCAGATGGGGCTACCGGGAAACCCTGTCTCAAAACAACAAACAAACAAAAGAAAACCAACTTTGAAGAGAAGGGTAGGCAGAGGAAAGGAGATTTTCAAAGAATGTTACCTTAGTATGAAAAGGCCTAAGAAGAGGGTTTTTTGTTTTGTTTTGGGTTTATTGCTTTTTGTGCTCACACACACGTGTGTGTGTGTGTGTGTGTGTGTGTGTGTGTGTACGCGTAAGAGAGATATGTGTGTATGGATGCCTGTGCCACAGTGCTCAAGTGGAGGTCACAGAATAACTTTGTAGAGTTGATGTTCTCTCCTTCCACTTTTATGTGGTTCCGAGGATCAAACTCAGGTTGCCAGGCCTGTGCAGCAAATGAGTCGCTGAGCCATCTTATCAGCCCCAAGAAGTGGATTTTTTTGTTTAGTTTTTTTTTTTCTTTTTAACATATATGTATTTATATGTGTATATACACACATGCATGGGAGCATGCATGTACATTATGTGGGTTCTGGGATCAAACCCAAAGTCATCAGGCTTGGTGGCAAGCATCCTTACCCACTAAGCCATCTAATCAGCCCTCAAAAAGAAGTTCTAAGGAAAAACAAAAAGGGAAAGGAGACTAACTTAGAAAAGAAAGTGGGGAGACATTGAGTATAAGATCTGGATGCAGGTCTCAGCAAGTTCTTAAAAGGCATCTTGCATGACCTCTTCTTTAAAAGTGAGAAAAATCCAAGAACACTGACCTAACTTAGCAAAGATCAGACAGCTTAATGATAATTAGCAGTATAGCCAAGGTTATGACCCAGCACATCTATGCTTTCCACTATACCATGCATAAGATGACTTGCGAAAGAATAAAAGTTCATCAGTCATCAAATAGAAGGTTGCCTTCTAGACCAAGAATCTCTAAGGTAGAGTTGGCAAGAAAAATTCACTGGGCCATAAGAAGATTATTTTCATATTTAATCTAAAAGAATATATTAA